GATATCCATTTGTTTTGTAACGATGTTATCATTCATGGTAAGCCATTTTCTAGCGATCTTCGAGTTCTCTCCGGCGATGTTCATGCTCCAATTGTTTTGGTTTCTATAACGACATTGGTGGGTGGTTTTTTTGCACATTTTACATCCCTACAATTACAAGTTACAAATTTTTTTGGGCACTTTTGGCTTTCTGTGGGGCCTATTCCTTGAATATTTGGACAGTGGAGTGTTAGGGAGAGTTTTGTAACAGGAGGCGATCTTGGGCCTCTCCCACTTTCATGTTTTCAATATTGCCATGGATTGGGTGCCATGGTACTTGTTTTCTCTATACCCCTTGAGGGTTTTGCGTAGTTGATCCAAACCCATTTGTTAGGAGACACACTTGCTAGCTTCATCTCTGTTGGAGGCATTTAGCTGACCTTTTTGGTGTTTCTTTAATTTGCGTCAATTGCAGAGATTTCTCAACTTGTTTTTCTCCCGGTGCTCGTGGTTACCTATCTTTTGTCTCAGCATGCTTAACATGCTTTATTGGTTGTATTTTTTATTGCTGTTATTTTTTCTACTTGATAACATGAGCATTTATGAATGAATTTTTCTTTAGGTGTAAAAAAAACCATCTGAGATGCGAATTCAAGTCCTATTGTTACTACTTTTTTTTAAGTTATCATTGTGTTGCGTTAAATAGCAAAAAAAAAAAAAACATCGTTAGTTTCTTGTGCACATTCGATCGGTGATTCATCAACCCAATAGCAGATTAATGAATAAGGTCAGTTTTCCTTTTCTTAGGCAATTTTATTTATTTCATTTCTTTTATTTATCCACCAGTTTAGTAATAAGTTTTTTTTAGATTTTCTAAATATTTGTCAATTTCGTTAATACACTAACACTTAATTTCCTTAATCAAACTTGTTCCTTTGGTTGTCTTAGCATAGTTTGTTTGTTTCTCTTAATTTAATTCACTTGCCTAATTATTTCAAGTCCATTTTTTTTCTCTGGCTTCAGTTTATTTGTTCACCTCATATCACTCATTTGTTTTTTTATTAGGGCTTGCTTAGTTTTCCATTATAACGTCCTCCTTTAATTTGTACACCTCATGTTTCAAGTCCATTATTAGGGCTTATTTATTTTTTAACTTAAGTTATAAAATTATTAAATTGTCCTTACAAATTTGGTAAAGTAAAGGCCGGTTTAACTAGGCACGTGTAGAGTGCCTAACACCTTCTTACATCATTGGACCCACAATACAATCTCTCTTCATTGGGTTAAAGAGTCGTCAAGTATAATGGTTTTTCCTGAAAACTCGGGTTTCCCTAAATTCTCAATTATAAAAATTTAGGTGACGACTCCATTTAAAAATGAACTGACCTGATTAAACCCCTTCTAGGACCTCAGCTTCTCACACACCTATGACATAGTGTTCATTGTCTTCTTCGATAATTCCTCATAGTTTCTGAGATTGTTCTTGTGTCCTCATCCATATCACATCTCTATAGGAATGTTGTAAAATGATAAAGAAAGTAGAATGGAACTTATCGATAATCGCTTTCCAAACTAGAAGTTGTAGGAGTGCGCTGGTGCAAAATTTTGAGACTAGGAATTGTAGAGAGAAGGAGGGCTAAGTCGTGCCACTTTGTCACTCTCCTTAAAACCACATTTTCCCCCTATAGTGCAACCGGGTGAATGCAAATTGGTCGCCAAGATAAAACAACCTACAGGCTACTGGTAGGCGTGTACTCACTTACCAGATCTCCGCGAGCCACAGAAAGATGATGCTCAGATTTATAGAGAAGACTGAGAGGAAGACTTGTCAAACATTGATGATGAATAATTGGGTTGACCAACATCCTTTTTATAGATTGGTCTTAGACCCGAATGGACACAGAGGTGTGCTTTCAGACAGGAGCCTCTTCATAATGGTGCACCTGTTCGAAGAGGCACATGAAGGAAGAGACACGAAGTTCAAAGTTAAAAAACACATTTAAAATTCAAAGAAACACAAAAACATGCCCCGATCTGACCCGACCCGGCTCGGCTTGGCTCAGCGCGCTCGCATGAAAAGCACCCCTATACCCCCCCCTCCCCCCACATTCAAGGAATATCTATAGTGCTCTCCTCCTATGGGTTCCTACCCATATAGAAAGCAAAACTATAGATATACTTTAATTCCACTCCTTTCCCAAGCAATGTGGGACAAGGAGTCTTCCCATGCACTCAAGAGTGGGAAGAGGAAAAGACAAAAAACAAGAAAGGAAGGAGAGAGATTCTTGAAATTTTGAATCTCCCTCCAACAATCCCCCACAATATTCAAAATTACAAGAAGGTCGAACAATCTGATCATCATAGTGAAAAAAGTATTCATGGTGATGTCTTTTGAACTTCAATCAACACTTAGGTATAATAGGCTATGTCACAGAGTACGGGTGGAGTCATACTCCTTCAACCTTTCCTCTTTGTCATAACTAGCTAATCGGCCAACCAACTCAACTCACCAATTCTTTAGTGGTTCTTTTGTTTTGGAACATTTCGGCCTTGTTCCCCTCTTGGAATCATGAGTGTTTTAAAGAATCAGCCCTAGATCTCTCTTACAAGCGGCCACACTTCACACTCACTTAGGTCAGTTATTAGCATGCATTGCACACACTATTCTTAAATAGGGGTGGCAATTTTACCCACAAAATTGGGTCCTTGATCCGCCCCGCCCCGAACGGGGTGGATTTTCCCCGGTCACAAATGCATATGGGTCGGGTTCGGGGAATTTTTTTGCCCTGGACCGGGGACGGGGCGGGGATGGGGTTTGCCTATAAATTCCCAAACCCACCCGACCCTGGTTGTAATTTATAACTACACCCTTATATATATAATGTATTAAACGTATTAGGGTATGAGTAATATGTTCAGTTTCACTGTTCAACTTCAACCTTCGCTCATAGAAGGCAAAATCGCAGTTCGCAGTCGCACATAGCCACATACAGAGACCCAAAGACCTTCATCCTTTACACAATCGCCGACCATCGGGCATCACCGCCACCGTAGAACCACTGACCGCCGTAGCACAGAGTTGCGGCTCAGTTTGCAATCGACCAATTGTTTTCAGTTCAATCTTCAATTGTAGATTGAGAAATTGAGAAGTCTTGTTCGTTCATCGACCGTCAGGCGTCATTGCCATCGTAGAACCGCCGACCACTGGTCGCCGACCATCGTAGCACAGAGTAAACCAGTTTTTGTTTTGAAAATAGGTCTCACTGGTACTTTTCCTTCACTCACTTGTATCCATGCATATAAGAAAACAAGCAAATACATGTACAATGTTTTTCATTAGACGCAAACCCTTTTTCTGTGTTTGTTTTTAATTTTTTATTGGGATCTGTCGTTTTATCAAACATTACTAGATAAGGTGTAAAGATTCCCCTTGTGCAAGTAAAACTTTTGTTAGATACTATCATGTAGTTGTTTCCTGCTATGAGTGACGATGAAGCTGTTGCCTCCTTCTAACACTCCTTGTTCAATCTTTGCACTCCCAAAGATGGACCATCCTCTCAAACCATGATTGAACTCTGGGTTAGCAATGATACCTCCTTCATATTGAGGTCTGTGAGATTCTGCTAGATACTGAAAATTTGGATAAAAGATGAAAGAAAACAAATATTAGAAAACATTAATTGTTTGCAAAACAAAATGCCTATGAATTTATGTTACAAAAAGCACGCCTCAATGCTTACCGAATAGTCATAGGATAAAGCTTCAGCAATGGACCCTATAACCACAAAGAAATAGTCTGCAATAAGTATAAAAGATGAATTTCAACTAATGTAACCTAAGGTTTGGATGGTGAAAGAAAGGAGCTACACTACTCTATAAATATATATTTTTTTCTTTAAGGTTATAAAATATATTAACTACTGCTCTGTAAATCTTGATATTTTAACTATTTATAAAATATATTTTTCTTCTTTAAGGTTAGTCTTGAATCTTGATGTTTGGACAAGGAGATAATTCCAACTCTCTACCAGTACCGGCTAGCCAAAGTGCTATCCCGTTTCCTGCTTCAACCCCAAATGAAAATGATACAACTATAATAGCTCCTCCATATTCAAGCTTTGGGAATGATGTTGGCAAAAGAAGTTCAAGTACCACAACTATAAAGGCATCATCTAAAAAGAGAGTCATTTCTATTGTATGGGAACATTTTAAAAAAGTAACTATTGATGGACAAGTCAAGGTAGTTTGTAACTACTATAATAAGAAGCTTGGTGGGGAATAAAAGAATGGAACTAAACATTTGCACGAGCATTTGCATAGGTGCCCAAGGCGTAATCAACTGGATATAAGGCAACAATGTTTAGGGGCAAGTCAAAATAAGGATGAAAAGTTTAAAGTCACATACAACACCTTTGATCCAGAAAACTCAAGGAGAGAAATTGCTAATATGATCATTCTACATGAGTATCCTTTCTCTATGGTCAATCACATTGGATTTAGGAGGTACTCATATAGTCTACAATCTACATTTATAGTGGTTTCGAGAAATAGAATTAAAAAATATATTCTGAAGATTTTTGAGCAAGAAAAAAAAAAGATAATTAAGTTGTTGGAGAAGAATGAGAGCAGAGTAGCCACCACAACTGACATGTGGACTGCTAATAATCAGAAGAAAGGGTTCACGACCATCACAACACATTTCATTGATGCTGATTGGGTTTTATAAAGTCGAATTATAAGGTATGCCTTTTTAATATAATAATTCATTAATAGTATTTTGTATTCTTAAGTTTTGTCATTTTTTATATTTACTTTTGTTGCTTAGCTTTTTTTTTCTGTTTTATTTATTGTTATAGGTTTGCTTATGTGTCTTGTCCACACACAAAAGAGGTTCTTGTAGATATGTTAGTGGAATGTTTTTTAAATTGGAATATTGATAGAAAGTTATCTACAATTACCGTTGATAATTGCACTACAAATGATGCCATTTTCAATGCCATTTGGATGGAAGATTCTTGAATATGCATTGTTGTGCACATATACTCAACTTGATTGTACAAGATGGATTAGTTGTGATTGGAGATGCCATTGAAAAAATTCGTGACAATATTGTGTATTGGAAAGCAAACCCCAAAAGAGAACAAAAGTTTGAGGAGACATCTCGGCAGTTGCAAATTCAAAGTAATAAGAAGTTGTCTCTTGATTGTAAAAGCATATGGAATTCAGCATATGAGATGCTTCATACTACTTTGATTTATAAGGATGTTTTTTATCGCTTAAGGCAACGTGAATCACAATATAAATGTTTGCCAACTGAGGAAGAATGGGAGTTGGCAAAGGAAATTTGTGGGAGGTTAAAGTTGTTTTATAATGTCATTGAGTTATTCTCAAGAACTAAGTATCCCACAACAAATTTATATGTTCTCAAAGTTTGTGAGATCAGAATAGCATTATCTCAGTGGCTTAGATGTTTATGTAAGGTTGTAAGGAAGATGGCATTGAAAATGGTGGAGAAATTTAACAAGTATTGGTGTGTGATTAATGGCATTTTGGGTGTGGCAGTAGTATTGGATCCAAGATATAAGATGAAGTTGATGGAGTATTTTTTTCCTATGATATATGTGGATGGTGCACTGGATGAGATTGAGAGGATTCGTCAGTTGTATTATGACTTGCTTCATGAGTATCAATTCAAATCCAAGTATAAAGAAGTTGGACATGGTAGTGAAACTTTAGTTAGTCCGGTTTACACATCTGAAAACATTAATATGGAAGAACAAGATCCGCTTTCCAATTATGACTTGTTTATTAATAGGAGTTCAAGTAATTTGACTGTAAAGTTAGAGTTGGACCATTATTTGGAAGAAAATGTGCTGCCTAGAACTTGGAACTTTGATATTTTAGTTTGGTGGAAGTCAAATGGACTCAAGTATCCTACCTTACAAACAATTTCTAGGAATGTACTAACTATTCCTATTTCTACAGTTGCTTCAGAGTCTACCTTAGCACTGGGGGAAGGCTAGTAAGTCTACATCGTAGTAGACTTCATGCCAACACATTGAAGGCATTGATGTGTTCTCAAAATTGGTTGGCACATGAAATTCAAGGTAATGTTATTTAAATTGAATCTTTATATATTGAAAAAAATGAATGTTCATCATTTCACCTTTATAATTTACTTTCTTCTTTTATGTTGATGCTCCTGTTGGTGAGAATCCTTGCACTTATAACACCATCAATAGTGATGGTTCAGATATAGATGACGAGGTATTTAAATAGTGATGATTCTGATATAGCTTTAACTTAAACTCCATATACTAACTCTTGTTTTTTTTTTATTGTTTTAGGAAAGTGGGGCTGTGGATTGAAGTAGAAAGTTGATTGAGTGAGATGGAGCTGCATTTGTGTACTTTGGATCAAGTAACACATTTTCCAATTTGTTGGAAATCTAGGTCATGGTGACAAGCATGACCACCTTTTGATTCTCTAGGTTCTGTGTTTCTAGTGCTGGGTATATATGGTTGTGGGGAACCACTGATGTTACAGAGGTCCTTGCATTGCTTGCTTTTGATAAGTCCAACTAGGATGAAGGGATTAAGGCATGATTGTGGGTACATTTCCTGTCACATATTCAAGCTTATATTTTTAACTGCTTAAAAATATGGAAATGTGAGGTTAGATTTTAGGAGCTTTAGATGCATGAGACATAAGCCTCATGGATTTCTCTTACTTTATTTTTATTTTTCTTAAGAGGAGAAAAACAAAAAGAATATAACTGAAAAAAAATTATTACTTGAACAAGCCTCAAAAGATTTAGTGGAAGTCAACTCATTCTTAAAAACCCTTTTAAAAAACTACAAAGGGCTTTAAATGTAAAATAATTCTTCAAAAGGTTTAGAATATGTTGAAATGTAGACATTAGCATGCATGTACACACAAAGCATCTCATGATGTAAAGGATGTGCTTTCTATTTTCACATGTGAACCTCACAGTGTAACATTTTAGGTGTTTTTATTCGGCCTTGCTTCAAGGTGAACCTCAAGGCAAATGCCCTATCAACTTTTTAAAACACTAGCAATAGCAGTATTTTGAATGAAAAGAAACGGGTGACTTAGTTCCATTGCTGGTTATTCCTTCAGACAAGAAGTGCAAGCGAGAGCAGTTCTTGGAATCAGATGACAGGTCTGTTGTTATAGAGATCCAGAACAAGTCTAAAACTTCCAAGGCCTTTGTTGTTGATGAACATGCTTCCGAGCAACAGGAACATACAGGAAACTTTACAGAGATCCAGAATAACTTTACATACCAATGGTTAGAGATGTAAAGTCACCAAAGGTCATGGGTGAACAGGGACATGAGCCTAGGTCATACACTAGTGGATCCAAATTTGTTGTTGCTTGTGATACATGTGGTAGCAGAAACCATGCAACTATAGGTTGTTCCTTGAGTCATTGATTGCTTCAGCACCTGGTATCCATGCTGACAAGTTGGCATTTTTTACTTGACCCTATGGAACACCAACTAGCTAGAAACTCTCTCAAGGTCTTGAGAGGTACCCAAACCAAACTTAGGTTGCATTTGGAATTCCTTATTTTAAGGACTTAGCTCCTTTTTGCTGTTAAAATGCCCATAAGAAAACTGAGTTTTTAAGTGCAAAAAGGAGATAAATCCTTAAAATAAAGAATGCCAAATGCACCCTTAAAGCTCTCAAGAAATGCAACTAGATCTCATACACTGTATGGCAATGGATAAATAAATATCCAAATTATCTGGAACCTGGCAACCTGCCCACAAAATTGACAAATCAATGACCAAAGAAATTTCCTTATCTTTTATTTTCTAAAATAATGATTTGGCCATTGAATTTGATGACCAGAAAATTAAGGAGGGAATTCTTTCTTTTTCTGTTTCTTTTAGGCTACAGACTGACATGTTATTTTCAGGTACAATTTTTTCTTATTCATAAATGTAGCAATCTTAGCATAATTATGACATGGAGTCAATTAGACCTATAGTAAAATTGTTTCTCTATGTATCTTTCTCTATATGATTAAGTCAAATGTAATTTTTAGCAACAGAAAAAATAAAAGTGGTGAAGAAGCTAATTTTTAATTGGATTACCATCTATAGAACTTGGTTTGTTAATATTAGCACCACATACAGTTTTGAGGTGCCTTAGAATAGCCTCTATCACGAGTGGGGCTCCCATGGTACTACCATCCAAAATAAGCACAATACTATACTGGAGTTCATTATTTATGAAACAATAATAGGCAAATAAATAATGATTTTTTTCTTTGTTTTGCCATAACAAATGAGCCATTTGAGCATGTTCGTTCAGTTAGTGCTGCCCCTATGTGGGGTGGGGTGGGGTGGGGGGTCCTGCTAAGGTGCCTAGCCTAGACCAACTGGTTTGTGCCACCAGATCCAAGAGAGTCCTGTTGATCGAAAGGACGCAAGCAGAGTTGCCCTGGATGGCCAACTTTTAGTGTAATTTCTGTATGGCCAAATGTGTCCTTGCTTTATCTGGGTAACATAGTCCAAAATTCCTATTCTTCTACACATGTAATTTTCTTCAATCACTAGACTGTCAACTAGTTGCCCTCGGGGACAGTCACTGATCAAAAACCATTTTGGCCTTCTCACCAATTGTTCAGAAACTTGGGGTTTGGACAGTTTGCTTTTTATATATTAATGACAAAAGTACCTGAAAGGGTTAAAACGGTTTTTTTTTTTTTTTAAACTTTGTAATGGTTTATTTTTATTTTCAATTTTGATACTGTTTTACTTTCCCTCTACTTTTCCATTTTTAATTTATTTATGCTGTTGCTTTATGACATGAGTCAAATTGTTTAAGGTTGAAAAGTTATCCATAATTGCTAGTGCCACCAAGTAGATGAATTGGTTGGTTTCCAATTCATTTAAGGGGGTAGCACCTGTAAGTTGACTGGCAACCGTTTCTTCTTGTGAACTTACTTCCCTACTGTACTTCTTGCATTTCATTTCCAAGAAACCATATGGAGGGTTAGCTGGGCTTCTCCTTAAGTCATGACCTTATAGAATGCATAAATTGGTTGCATTTTACCCATTATTGCCCACCAATTAATGGAATCCAATTTTCTGGTCAATTATTCAAAAAACCAAATGGTTGGATTGCTCCATTTTCTCTTATGTCTCTTTCTTTTTCTGTGTTACTGTTTACAAGACAATGTGTTCATTTTTTTTCTTGGTTAAATAACAGAAAAAAATATCATAATTTTTTATTGCTGATGTGGCATTTTTCTATGTTTTCCACATTTGGCAGAGCTCCATCTTTTGGTGTTTCAAGAAATGCTCTTGGATATGAAATTCAAAGTGACTGTTCTCTCTACTGATTTCTGAGGAATTGGGCACTCCAAAGTGACTGGCATGCATTTGGTTTTTCCTGCAGTTTTGATTTGCTGATTACGATTTAGTGCAATGTTATATAATAGCTACAATTCCAAACACCATCCGAGTATATCAAGGGCTTTGCAATTTAATTGTAATTAAGAGATTTTCTGGTTGCATGAACTTGGTATTATTGTACGGATTTATAGACATTGTCCTCTATATTCTGGTTTTCTGCAAAATTGGCCTTTGGTGGACATGAGTCATCCCGAAAATGTTGGATAGAAGCAGATTATAAGAGAAAACCATGAGCTCATGAGTTGGTTAATACCAATTTTGAACAATAGTATATACAATAATGTGATCATTTTTAATGCTATTCAATACCCAATTGTATCTAAACTGGATTCAAATATGAATATAAATAAATCAAATTTGGAAATTGGAATTGGATATAGTCATTGGGGCGGGGAAATGTCGGGGATTACCCGTCCCCAAATTATTGCTTGCGGGGCGGGTACATGTCGGGGATTACTCATCCCCGACGGGGCCGGGAATGGGGGTTGAATCTTCACCTCGATATCGAGGATGGGTGCAGGGATTTTAGCTATGGGGTGGGGACAGGTGCTAGGATTTTAGCTATGGGGTGGGGACAGGTGCTGGGATTTTAGCTACAGGGCGGGGATGGGGAGTGCGTGCCCCGCCCCATTCCCACCCTGTTGCCATCCCTATTCTTAACTGATTAAGAGCCTCATGCTCAACCTCCTCAAACTACAGTGAGCACTATCATTGGAACACAAAGTGCTTTCCCAAGTCATCTAGCGACTTGTTTTTACCCATTCAACCTAATTCCAAGGATCTCCTTTCACATAAGTTGGGTGTCCATCACTAATGACTTATGTAATGGGCTTCAGCCCCATTCCTACCGATGCCTCATAAACCACCTTAGAAGTTTGTGGTTTGGTTAACGGATTTGCAAGGTTCTTTGTAGACCATACAAAATCTAGAGCAATTGTATTTTCACTAAAGTGTTGTCTTACTAGGTTATGCCTTAAGTAGATGTGCCTTCTTTTACCATTGTACATCTAGTTCTTGGCTTTGGCTATTGCTACTTGGCTATCATAATGGAGAGATATGGATAGAACTAGCCATGGCCAAAGTGGTATATCTACCAGTAAGTTCCTTAGCCACTCTACCTCGGACCCAACCAATTCTAGAGCAATAAACTCGACCTCCATTGTTGAACTTGTATTGCATGACTGCTTTACCGATTTCCACGACACTGCTTCTCCACTTAGAGTAAACACATATCCATTGGTGGAAGTACTATCCTTCGAATATGAAATCCAATTCACATCAGTAAAGCCTTCTAAAACTAGAGGAAAACTTGAGTAGTGTAAACCAAATTTTATGGTTCCTTTTAAATATTTTAATAATCTTATTAGAGCTTCCCAATGTTCATTTTCTGGGATTATGAGTATGCATACTTAATTTTTCCACAGCTATAACTATGTCTGGTCTTGTACAGTTCATTAAGTAAGATACAAATCCAATTGTACTTGCATACTCCTTTTGTGAAACAGATTCTTCTACATGTTTCCTTAAGTGAATAATACAGCCAAGAGGTGTTTTAACCAGTTTATAGTCATAGTGTCCAAATTTTCTAAGAATAATTTGTACATAGTGTGATTGGTCGATAATAAAGTTTCCTTGTTGTTTATGGATTTTAATCCCCAAGATTATCAGCCTCACCCAAGTCCTTGGTATCAAATTTGGACATTAGAAATTGTTTTGTTTCTTTTACTACCTCTAGACTAGTTTCCATTGTTAGCATATCATCAACATATAAATAGATTATGACTCCTTTATCATTTTCAAATTTTCTATAGACACATCTGTCAGAATCATTTTTGCTATATTCATTAGTTACTAAAACATTATCAAATTTTTCATGCTATTGTTTGGGATCTTGTTTTAAGCCATATAGAGAATTAATTTACATACTTTATTTTCTTGTCCTAGCATTATGAAGCCTTCAGGTTGCTTAATGTATATTTCTTCCTCTAATTCCCCATTTAAAAAAGTTGTTTTTACATCCATTTGATGAATTACAAGTTTGTAAATGGATGCTATAGCAAACAAAACTCTAATTGTTATTGACCTTGCAACCGGGGAATTAGGTGTCAAAGAAGTCTACATCTTTCTTTTGTTTGAACCCTTTAGCAATTAACCTGGCCTTGAATTTATTTATTGTACCATTTGATTTTAGTTTTTTCTTAAAAATCCACTTACAATCCAGTGCCTTAGTTCCAGGTGGAGATCTACAAGTTCCCAAGTGTGATTAGTGACTAAAGAGTCTATTTCACTTTTTATGGTTTCTTTCCAAAATACTACATCAGGTGAAGTTACAGCTTCCTAATAGGTTACTGGGTCCTTGTCCACCAGAAATGTGAACATTCCATCACCAAGTTTGTTTCTCTTCTTTGTCTTTTACTTCTTCTTAAGTCTGGTCCTTGCCTAAGTGAAGTGTTAACTTCTTGAGCACTCAATTGTTCTTGGTTTTTGGTTTGGTTTTGGGGAGGTTCCCTATTTATTATTTCTTTTCTCCAAGGAAAGATGTGCTCAAAGAACTTTGCATCTCGGAACTCTATTATTGTGTTGTTTTCAACAACATTATCAATTGTTTTAATTACAAGGAACCGATAAGCTACATTGTTTTGTGCATATCCAATGAACACATAGTTACAAGTTTTCAGTCCTAATTTCTTTCTTTTAGGTTTAGGTATTCCAACCTTTGCTAGGCAATCCCAAACTTTTAGATAGTTCAAGCAAGCTAGGTTTTTTATTATGCCAAAGTTCAAAATGTATTTGTCCTTTCTTCTTGGGTGGTATTCTATTATATAGGTGACAAGCCGTTAGGATTGCTTCCCCTCACAAATTCAGAGGTGCACCTGA